GTTGGCAATGAGTTGGATGGCATAGACTTGAGAGTGCTTTTGGTGAACTTTCTAACTCTGCACATGAGTCTTTATTTCTTTTGTTCACACGTTTACTAGTATTTGACTGCTCTTTGGTGTGTGCTTTGTACCATCAAGTTTGAGTTGTTTTGGACATGCTTAGGCTTTTTATACTGCTATATTGTAGCTCATCTCAAGAACATTTCTTGATTTTTTTTCCTTTTTAATATCTTTTAAGATACTTTTCAAAATTATACTTGGTTCATTTTTTCAATTGAAGAATGAAGAGACCAGTGGAAAGAATTGCTCTTGACCTAAAACTATTTCGTCTTTTACCTAGACCTTTTTAGTACTTCTAGGTGGGTTGGATGCTTCTGCTTTATTGTCAGATAATGCAGCATTCTCTGTATTCTACTGATAAGTATTACAGCCACTTTGATCATTTTTTTCTTAAGTTCTACTCTTTAAATGTATTTTTTTATATATATTTTGAGGGGCACTGTAGATTTCTAGAATCAGATTCAGTGTTAACAGAAATTCAAAAAGTATGTTATGTTCCCTTTGACTTTAGCGACTTTTGAAGTGTGATTCTCTTTTACATGAACCCCATATTTATTTCCCATGTCTAGTTGATCCTTTAGTGCTGATCTCTGAACAGGCATGGAAGTCTTTTATGCCTATTTTCTAATTGCAGTGTTCTCTTCTAGGGAGTAACTGGTTTTCAGTTTGTTGTTTACTGCATGTATGTGTCAAAATGTATTGAACTTTATTGTTTTCTCTTTATTTTAAATAATAACTTTTTAAAGAAAAATCAATGGTTCACACACACGTTTAAAACTAAGTATATTTGAAATATGAGCCTGAACTAATGCTGAGATCACTTGGACTACATAAAACTCGATTTTAGTACTTTATTTATTTTCAGAAATACACTGTAATGCCTTTTTTTAAAACATGAAAAACTTACAGAAACTCATGCTCAAGTAAAAAGTACTTCTGCAACACTTAGCACTTCCGTAACTCTACATACTTATTTCAGTCTGTCATGACGGACTTAAAATTGTAACTTCAGGTTCCAATTTTTCTATCTTCAGTCATTTTTATTATCTCTATCATCAGCTCAGTGTTATATGTGAGTTTACAAATGTGTTATACTTTAGGAAAGGATTAGTATAGCCAAATATCTACAAAACCAAGTATTCAATGCATCACATCATAAGGCATTTAGGAATAAATTTTTCACTGTGAGGGTGGTGAGGCACTGGATCAGGTTGCCCAGGGAAGCTGTGGATGCCCCATCCCTGGAGGTGTTCAAGGCCAGGCTGGATGAGGCTTTGAGCAACCTGGGCTAGTGGAGGGTGTCCCTGCCCATGGCAGTGGGGTTGGAACTTGATGATCTTTAAGGTCCTTTCCAACCCAAAGCACTCTATGATTCTATGATTCTATGGTTCTATGATTCTATGAGTTAGCTAAGGAGTTGGTCTTCCAATAATAATAATAGCATTCAGCTACTGTTGTTCATAAATTCAGGTATCACACAAACAGGAGTTAAAGTGGAAGCTCGGTGACTGCTAATTGATGTTTTCATATATTTCAACACTATTTTTGACACTTTGTCAGAACTAAATTCATATGAATGAAACTAGGTCTCATGAAGTGACCCAGTCTGAATATACCTGTTTTGAAGCATTTTGTCAAATGCTTTATTAAAAAATAATTAACTTGTCATGCTAAAATAAACCCAAGACATTGCAATGTACAGAATACCTTGGAAAAATTCCAAGGGCAAATAATGAGAAAAACTTTTTTATTACCTAAGGAATATATTTCAGTATGCCATTTATTTTAGTTACCTATCATTACCCAGTTATTAAATGTGCGATGATAGATAAGCCTGCAATAAACTGAAACATCCTTTAAAGCAAATGAAGAATATTGTACTTTTTGTGAACTTTTTTGATTCTTTCCAGCTTTTCTCATTGACTAGAAGTACATGATCATTTGTGGTTTGTTTTTTTTTTAAAGTAATACAGTCTATAACAACAACATTTTAAATTTAAACATACTAGGGTAGTTCTGAGAAAACTATAAATAATGTCAGCTGCCTCTTTGGATTCTAGTATCCCTTTCAAGTATGTTTGTTTCCCCTCCTTAAAATCCCTCTCAGCATGTCATTTGTGTTCTCCTGATGACCTTGCACACTATGATATTCAGACTGTTTCACTCTTGGCTTTCAGTATGGAAGCCTTTCTCTGACATACACAGTAAAAGAAAATCTTAGCTTATGTAGGCGCCCACAGTGCATCACTAGCTATCTCTGCTGAAAAAGTCATAAGAGGTTACATAGAATCAAAGGATGAAAGAGATGCACAGGATAATGGGGAGAAGGCTGAAGTATTCAGAGTGAATTTTAATGGCACAGCAGCACCACCGTTGTCCATGGTAGTAACATTAATAGCAGTGAAGAACCCCAATAGCTTAAATTAATCTTCTGGAGTCAAAACAAATGACACGAACAAGTGAAAGTTCAGTTATGTCTCAAGAGCTTTTAAGTTACAGTCTGTGTCACTAAATTCAGTTTCACAAACAGCAGGTTAAGGTGGTGCTTATGCTTTTACATTTTATCTAGCCACTAATAGGAATGAAGGATTCTCCTGCTTTTAACTGAGATTGAAAAGTCTTTGCCTTCAAGAAATTCAAGACCAAGTAATGAACTAGCCATCATTCTGGGCTGTAGACCTTATTTTGCAAGAAGCATGAAGATCTGTTTTGAGGGTCAACAGTAATGGGCCAAAACCTGTATCATTTAATTATTTTTGTTTCAAACCAGCCATGAAAGTAAAAATATTTCCCTGTAAATATGGATTAAGCAAATACCTGCAGTACTAGCTCTATGTGAGCATGTTTAAGTGTATAATATTTCTTCATGAATCGGCTTTATAATTCCTTAGTTTCCGTTGTTTCTAAATTTGTGTTGTTACTTACTCTTATGAATAATTATAAAGGAAGACTCGAATAAAATATTGACTGGACCTTACTAGAAGGAAAAGAGTAACAGGAATATAACAATTTAAAAAGTATGGCTCTAAAAATTGCTACATTTTATGAAGTGATGGAAGGACAAGCATAGTGTCTAAAATTGCTTTATATTAATTTTCTAAAACAGCTAACATTAGCTTTAAATTTGACAAGGTTCCTTTAAAGTGCTACTGAGTACTTTTAAAGGTAGCAATATGTAATGTTTCAAGCTTTAATTTGTGATGAGAAATTGCTTATAATAAAACAGAAAGTATATAATACATTTTTACATATTCTACTACATGCATTGTATTCAAGTGAGGTTTGTCATTTGATTGTTAAAATATAAAAACTGTCAAATGAAGAACCCTAGATAAGTCCATTTATATCCTGAAAAATGTGGTGATAGAATTTTATTTTCTAGAGGTCTTTAGTCCCGTTTGCAATAGCTGATTCATCTAATATAAATTTAGTCATCTAGAAGTTAAAATCTAATCTAAAGTGAGAGAAACTGGGAGAAAGTACTGTCTTTTTTCCTTTTCTTTTCTTCTTTCCCAATATGTTGCATTAAGATTTGATTATTAAGAACTAGATTAGGTTTTAAATATTAGATAATTCTTATGTCTAAATTTAGATGGGATGCTTTCCACACTAAGAAGAAAGAATTCAGGTAAATTTTGAAACATTGCTTTGAAACACAGCTGTGAGGTCTACTCAATAATAATGATCAATAGTTTCAGTGGGAGTGGACATAAGAGCAAATAATATTAAAAAGAAACTAACACCAAGTTCACATTACTCCTCCAATGCAATTCTCTTAAATAACATTAAATAATCAGTAGAAGTCACATCAGTCTGCTCCTAAGTGTTGTTATGGTTTGGATTTTCACCATTTTGTTACCATTTTGCTTTATGGTTTAGTGTTTATGAAGACCTGGAAATTCAACTTAAAAATACGTTTTTAAAAATCATCTTGATCTCCATGCAAAACATTAGGAACAGGACCAATTATTATAGGTGACCTATGTGCTACTGTGAAAACAGAGAAAAAGAATCTGTTATTGAATTTCATAGTTTTTTTCCTAGTTAAGTTTCATCCACAGAAGCCACGTGTTTAGCTGCAAAATTTTGCTTCACCTGAATAATTTAAATTGATTTTTCTGCTTTCTTCTTTTTTGGTAGGGTGTGGGGAGAGGGCAAAGCTGCATCTGCCCAGTATTTTAAAGTACCCAAGTTGCTGTTAGAGTCACCAAAACACTTAGTTCTATGTGCCAAAAGCTTCATAGTTACAATTTAGTCAAGTTCTTCATATGTCTATGCAGTTGTTCCTGTGCATTCACCAGGACCTAGGATTTTGCTCTAAACTATATAATCAAAAAAACGTGTATTGCCCTTGTATTTTTCCTATGTATAGGTTCTTTTTTTTTCTTGAACTATGTAGGCTATGTACTGTTTTTAAAAGAAAACAGATTATCACATTATATCATGAACTAGAATTTAGGGAAAAACTTCAAATATCATTCTAACTGTCAAATTTATTGGCCTGTCTTCTCAACAGGACAAAATAACAAAATCAAAGGAAAACATACACTGTGTCTTTTCATGTTCATTAAGCACACAGTTGACATTCTTCTTAATTTCAAATATTGCAGTCACATAATCCTTTTCAGTTTTTAATATAAATATTAAGATATTGGTTCCCTAGTGTATGTAAACTCAAATCTGAATTTAGGAGTGCATCTTGGTCTGTTGATTGTAAGATTTTTTTTTTTTAAATTGGGACATGAAGCTGAATGACTGAGTTTGAGACTCTGGGTTCTCTGTGTTAGCATATTGGAAAATAAATATGCTTATGTAACTCAGCACAGAGATTACAAAGAGGTTTCCATCATGCTGTTGTAATAATGGGGAAAAAAATCAATGAAATTATTTAGTATCTTTAAATTATAGTAAGATTCCTGCAGATACTGTTTCTGTAAAAATTAAATGCTCTTTGTCAGTCTTTTCTAAATGCTGGGTATTAAATGTAGTAATGTGCTTATATTTAGAGCATCCAGTAGAACTGTGATGAGTGAAATCTTTTAAATGTTTTTAATCTGTACATTATTTTAGAATAAAGAATGTATTGTTAATATTTTCTTTTGATATTATAGGTAAGCACACTAGACTGGGTACGAGCTGAAAAAATCTATAACCTCTGTGAGGTTCTATTTAAAATTCACAAGGTAGGTTGCCTAACGATTACAATGGTATTACTCAGCAAAGAAAGCTTGCCTTTTCCTGTTAATTATAGGCTCAAGTTAAGTAGGAGTAGCTAGCATTCAGATAGTTCATCTGTTGTTTAAAAAAACTTTTTGGTAATTGCTAGTGTGTTTGCTATTCAGGTATAAGAGAATATGGAAAATGGATTAAGCTCCAAGTGAGAAAGTTAGTAAAATGCTTCTGTATTGAAGAAATTTTTCAGTATTAGAGCTGGTCTTATGAAGTACAGGTGAGACAGCTAAGAGTAATGAGGCTGGATATTGCTTTTTTTCTTAGTGGCTTGTTTCTTTAAGTGAATGTAATGAATAATTTTAATGTGATTCCTGACCTATGTAAAGATACTTCTATTTAATTTCAGTAATTAGAAGTAAAAAATTATGTCCTTTTTAGATAATGTTTAGTTTCCAAATATTATAGTACGTTTTACCTTACAAAGGCCAATATGGTGCGTTTGTGTACCACAGAATTCTTAATTTTTTCCCATCACCAGACAGTGTTATGTTTTCTGTTTAGCTTGTCCCGAGCAAGGATTTTGGGCAAAACCCAAAATCCTGTTTAGATAATTGACTTACAGAAGATATTTTCTAATAAGTTATATCAGATAGATTAATTTAGTTGTCTACATGCTGATCAAAAACTGTGTTGCAGATAAGGTAAGGTTAGATGAGAGCCTACTTTCATAAGAAAGTAAAACAAAACATATTATCAGGAAAAAAAAGAACACAAAAGATCAGTCTTTACAGATAAAATCCTGTTTCACTGAAAAATTCCAAATTAGCTTTAGTTCTCGCCAGCTGCTGCCTTTCTCTCTGCTGTTCCTCCTTTGACCATGTACATGGTTGTGGAGAAGGAACGTTGTTGCTTTGTTACCTGTACAGATCCTGACTTAACATTGCACCGAAGGAGAACAGATTAAGTTTCATTACTTCAGGAAGTGCTACTTCCAGGTGTTTTCTCTGATGCAACACAGTTATGCAGGAAAATTTATAGAAGTAGAAGTTAAAAAAAAAAAAAAAAAGTAATAGTCTGGACAATAACACTCCATTCCCCTTCAATGCACTTTTCAGCATAGTGCTAAATGTCCAAATTCTTCAAAGAATGGGAGTTTCCATGGCCTGACTGCTCAACCTACTTGTCCCAGATTGGCTTTCAACAACATGGGCATGTTTCCTACACCAATTTTGTTGACTGTGATTTAAAAAAAAAAAAAATTGAAAACATGATGAAGTTGCAACCAACAGCTCAAGGAGCACAGAGAACTTGACAGAAATCTAGAAAAAATAGCTCTCAAGCATGAGCTGACGTCTACATTTTACAGAGGTGTTGGTCCCATTAAGTGGTTGCTGAAAGAGCTTCCAATGATGTCAGGTGTCAGTTTTGCAGCCCATCACTGCCTGTTTTTTTCCACTGTAAGCCTGCTCTCACTGGCAGGGGAGGAAGGTTCCCTTCTCTGGCAAAAGTGGGGAGAGGGAAGGGTCTTGGGCAGTGTCATACCAGGAAAATAGCAATCCTGGAGTTTGGAGAGCAGGCTGCAGGACTGCAGCCATATTTCCTGGCCATAGCATTATTTTAAAGCAACCATATCTCCAGCTGGGTGTGTGTGGGCAACTTCAGAACCTGCTCGTCACCGAGACAGCAGCAAAGAGTAGAGTCTCTGTCCCAGATTATTTGTTCTGTCTCCTTAATCTGTTTTAAATTTTACTTTTTCCTGATAAATAAGTCAGGCAGTAACTAAATATATACTCATTATACCTTTTGAAAAGTTTGTGCTATGATCTGGGTTTTGTTTTTTTCTCCTTGAAGTGTTACTACTGATTTGAAACTCAGTCCTTCCTTTAATATTCTCATAATTTCAAGGACAGTCTATCCTTAAGGAAGATTCTGTTATACTTTTTCATAAAGAAAAAGAAGTGAGAAATAAACTGCCCAAGATTCAACTCTGCAATGTTCTTGACAATTTACTAAATGAATTCTTAATTGCCAGTCTCCATGAATACAGTAGCTAAAGTGCAAAAGCTCAAATTCAGCACTTTAACCTCTTTTCTATTGATTCTTTGGTATTAATGACAATGAGGCAAACTGAGCAAATCCAAAAAGAGAGAAAAAAAATCTTAAGAGATTAAGGTTTCTACCTTGCAGACTGAAATATGGAGTTTATGTTGTAAAAACTGCCCTTTGGGGAGGGTGTTCTAAAGGATTTTCAGAAGCTTGTTAGAACCAGTGCGAAGTGCTGTGTACACTGGTGCCATTATGTGCTGCTTCTGAGGTGCCCCACAAAACATCCGTAGCTTAACAGACTAAACTCGAGTAAAATGCATAAGGTTACATTTGCCAGCTTTATGTTATTCAGTAATTCACCAGCACAAGCAAAATTTTCAATTCCCATCCGAGTATTTTGATCTGTTTATGAAAATGAAAGCAGTACACAGAGGAGGGTGTGCTAACAGAGCATTTGTTTTGTCTGCTTTTCATTACTAAAAAGTGGATCTTCACTGCTGTCCTGTGGGGGTGGTTGTGTGTGCATCTAGAACAGGAGGGACACAAGACCCTGAACATTTAAGCATTTATTTTACGTTTATCAGAATATTTTACAAATTACAGATGTTTGTTTGTTTTCATGTGCATGGAGTTTCAACTATAGCCTCAATAGGCTATGATAGACTACTAGAGGTTCTGGAAAAATAAGTGCTAAATCTTTATAAGGTTTATCGTGACTATAGGATTCTAGGACTTGGGTACCACTGCAAAGCTGGATTCTGGTCTTTTCAAAGCCACCTAAGTCCAGCCAAATATGACTGCTTTTACCTCAGATCTGCTTGACTAGAGTTAATTGTCCTAAACCTAACCTGGAGTGCTAAAGAAAGAAAATTCTGTTTGCAATTCTTTTTTTTGTACCTTCAATCTTTTCTGCCCCATGCCATCATAGAGACATGGAGATAGGAAAGGGCCCTATTTGATAAATGGAAATTTAAAAAAATGCATTATTTGGAAATTCAGTCAGTTAAAGTACTCAGATGTATAAGCAGTAGCTTTTTTATTTAGTTTTCTTTGTATTTATGTTAATCAGTGAAGTCTTGAAAGACTAAGGAAGCTTCTTTAAATAAATTGTTTTCATTTACAAAACATTCTGGATATTTTTTATTATGAAAGTCTCCCATGAAGTTTCTCCTCTTCGTCTTGAAGGTGATGGCAGGATTTCACTTCACTCCCCCTGTAGTTGCAGAGTGGCATTGGCAGCTATTAGGGGACATTTGAAAGCTCACGTTGCCATTTCCAGAATTCCATGGGTGACTGACAAATTACTGCTTTCCTTGGTGTTTAGCATATCGGAAGAAGCCGGTACACATTGTATTCAAACAATTCAGGGATTTTCTCCCTTTTCACTGTAAACAATATAATGCTACAAACTCCTTTTAAATTATGTATGTATTGCTTAGGTAACTTTGAGAGTGTTGTGGACGTACAGGAATAGCTCAGATTACATTATACAGGGTAAAGTGAATAAGAAGCAAAGAGAGAAGCTGTCTTTGAAATTATTACTTAATTCTCAGAATGTTTCTTCTAGGTAATTATTAACATAATGATATCACGTGTCCAAGTACCCATCACTCACAGAAGACAATGTTGCTTTAACTGTTTTTGCTAGATGAAGAATCACATACTGAAACGTGTCTTTCAGCTCTGGCTTGCTGACGATTGCTGGCTACAAGCAAACATGTATTTAGGTATTCATCAGGACTTTGATCTTGAAGACCAGAGGCCGTACTGTTTCAGTGTTATGGTTGGACATGGCAAGAGTCATTATTTCAATGTAGAGCTGGGCAACGAGTTGGCAGTGTGGGAGAAATCATTTCAAAGAGCAATTTTCTTGGAAGTTCAAAGAACAGGGGTAAGTAATGAATAATTTTAATCCTGGAGACTTTTGATCAGTAAAATAAATATAACACATTTTTAGGTAGTATGTTTAATAATTGCATCAAATTGATGTGCTCCATGACTGAGGATCTGAGTGCACTTAATACACTGAATGCTTCTGAAAGCTTAGTCATCACATCAATATTTGTATGTCAATGACTATGTAATAACAGTCTGTGAGCATGTTATGACAGTTTGAAAATTGGAAGTTGACCTTGATTATAAAAAACTAGAAATGAATACATTTTGCCACTGGAAAACAATTTTTGTGGAGATCATTTGATCCACCTTGAACATTTTCTTCCAGAAAGCTTATTTTCCACTCACATAAGGTAAATTGGTTACATTTTGTATAATGGTTCTGTTTTCAAAGATGAAATATTTTGCTCTTACATTGTTAATTGTAAATGGGGATTGTCCTTGTTAACATTGGAAGAGTTTGAAGAATCAGCATTAAAGATTGCGATAGTCTTAAATACTCAAAATTAAACAGCAAGTTATCACTTTCCACTGGCTAGTAAAATTCTCTCAAGTCAATTATTTTCTCAGATCTGAGGGTGCATTATCCGTTAGGTGGTTTTAAATCTCGGATCAAGATTCCTGGTATAGTTGTCTAAATGTGGGTGTCTATTAGCACTGTGGTGACTAAGCTCCAATTAGAATCAGTGAGTCCAGAGAACAATTGTGCTTTCCCTAAAGCAGATACTTTATTCTAAAGGAGGTATTTTGTGATCTGAAGACAGAGACGATAAACTGATTTTAATTTAACTTGCAACTTAAAGCACCTATATACTGTTATATAAACAAGTTATTTGCTGAACATCTAGATCCATACTCCCAAGTGAATTGGACCAGTGGTATGGGAATGTATGGATTGAGAATATCAGCCTTCTCCAATTAAAAACATATTTATACACTTTAGCACAAATGCAAGGTTGATCTGGTGTGTTCGGGTCTGCAGGGACCTTATGTTGACAATAGCAAGAGCACTGGATCACAGCATTGCATTAGCACCGCTTGCAAGGAGTAGGAGTCCCAGCAAACGTGTTGAATCAGATCTTCTAAGTTTTCAAATCTCTGGGATTCTAATGAGGTTTGCAGGTGCTAGGTTAGAACCCTTGCAATTGTCTCTTCAGACCATTGGGGTAACAAAAAAGATTTTTTTAATGGTGGTGCTGTTTCTTCTGTACTTCTGAGAAGGAATTCTTTTTCTTCAGAAAAGAATTGATTCCTCTTGAAGAATTGCTGGGCATCAGGGGGGATTAATAATGCATATTGAGTATGCATAAAGTATTTTCTTACATGAAGTCTTCAGGAAATTATGATATGACTGTTTGACGAACCATTCAATTATCCTTTGTATTAACCATATAAAAAGCAGATAATATATAAATAAAATTCAAGGTGGAGATTAGCCAATTCTGTATCTGATTCAATTTCTAAAGTATTTATTGTTAAATCTTGAAACTTGTTCTTTTACATCCCAAAAATCTTAAAATTAAGGAGTGATACTTTGCTTGTGATCTTTTGTAATTCGAATCCAACAATCTTCTAGACCCATACCACACAAAAATTTCTTCCAGCTGTGGTTTAACCTATTTGAAACCTCCAGAAGAGGCATTCAATTAAAATCCTGATTACAGTGCTTAAGTCTCCATATGTGTGCTCCCATATCTTAATTTTCTCTCACTCAGTTGCATACATTCAAGTTTGTTGTAAACCACTATGTCAGTAGGATGCAAAGTGCTGCGGTCACTCTCCAGCAGTGAAAAATCTTTTGACTCCACTAGTTTCTTTCTTCTGTCAAAACATAAATGCTGCTTTGAGTGTGCTATCAAGAGCAGCATGATTTAGGTGCAACTTAACATTACATCGATTATTTCAAGGTGTAGAAAAAGAACTGGCATTTCAGTATCCAGAAAATTGAAGGTTAACACTAGTAGGTTAGATTGTCCATAAAAATTATTTCTTTTGGAGAAGGACTGCAATTACAATTGGAGATTATTTTTTATTCATAAATGACTGGGCAAGATTCATGGCATGTTTTGGATTGCACTCTGTCGTTTCACCCATTCTTGTTTAAATGTGATTTGGTTCTGTTTACTGTTGAGGGTCATTAGGATCTTGTCTTTGACAAAGTTGTTGTTAACTTCACCCTGTACACGTTCTTTGTGTTTGGTGCTTCTATAAGAAGAATTATATTTTTGAGAAGATTCTGTCTTTACACAGTTTATGAAAAGAAATATTAAGGTGCAGTGGTATGTTCAAACATTCTTCTGAATTTTATCTGCCCATGGCGTGTGATATTTTTATACATTCCTTCTGAAAATGGCAACAATGTTAAATGACAGAAAGGATGCAATAAAGCAGGAAGAAATCCCCCTTACAATATTGTTCCCCTTACAGCTACCTTAAAGCCATAGTTCAAGCTGCAAATGCCTACAAAAAGTAGTCTACCAAGAAACTGTCAAATTCAGTGACCTGATGAAATGAATCTGTTTACAAACCATGATAGCAAGCAAACTTATATTAAATCCATTTGCTAAGAATGTCTATATTTTCTTCCTAGAAAAAATATTGTAGTTGCTAATGGCATAATTTGGACAGATGGGGGCAATAAAATTGCAATTAAGGTGAGGCAGGAAGGCCATTGAAAGGCAGAAAAAATGCTCTTAAAAAATATTTCCATGAGGTTGGTAATAAAAGTCAGCATTATAATAGAGGAAGATAGGCAGTGAAGTCCTCTCAATCACAACCAGAAGTTCAATCATCTCCCTCAAATCCCAGCAAGCCTCTGTGTCTCACCTGGAACACCCTAAACAGGGCAAGACCAATGAATGATGCTCAGATTAAGTAATTTTTCTTTTTCTTTTTAAAAATTTTTTTTACAGTGTAGGCCATCTTCTAAAATAAAAGACAAGCACGTTTTCCAGGTCTCTTACTAATTCTTTGACCGTTCAGTGTAGGCTTGTCAGTATTGTGGGATTTTATTCCATGTTTTTTCAACTAAACCGTCATAAGTTATAATTGGTTTATAATGTGAAAAGTAGTGCATATATTTCAAATTACATACTTGCTTCTATGAAGTGTAAAATGACTTATAACAATGAGAGATCAAGAAGAAAGAACTGTGCAAAAATGCACTGACATTTTAAAAACCTACATTTTCACCAAATTAAATAGACAAATATCTCCCATATTTTGAGCAGCTCCAGAAAGAGACAAAATTAATTTATGTATTTGGGCTGTTATTCTCAGTCAACTGGAGATAACAATAAATCCCTCATGTTTTCAAAATTAGGAGCCAGATGGAGAAATCGATTTACCTAAAAGTTCAAACGGCTTCTAAACAATTTTTGCCACTAAATATCAATGAATATTTTAGCAATGTTTCTTTATATATGCTTTAAGTTGAGTGTCCAAAAAGCGACTGAGAATGTGAACAGTGATGTGTGCTGGTCAGTGATGTGTATTCTTTGCATTCCCAGTGTATGGTGGCCAAGCTGCAAGGAAGTGTAAATTAGCTCCGTCTGAATCTATTTTTTAGTGTGAAATGTACAACTTTTTCTCTAAATTTGGGATTTAGAGAAAACTGAAAAAAAAAAAAAAAAAGGATTTATGATGTTCAGATCCAGGCAGCCTAAAAGAAGTTTTGTTCCTGGGTCTCCTTCCTGGAACGTTACGCAAGAGGTGTTTTCTAGTAATTTTCCAGTGGCACTCTGAATTGATCCTATTACAACTCAAGTTAGATGTAATCAGAATAGATCTTAAAAACTGTGTCTGCAGTGGGACTTACTTGGGCAGAGATTAGACATTTTTCCACTCATCTTTCTATCACAGGTAACCTAACTCTTCTGATTACTTGATTTCTGAGATACTCAGAAGACTTTGGGTGTCTCAATAACTCTGCGGTCAAAACACACTCATTGTTTCTAGGTATCTTTGGGAATTAAGTGATGCCTGAGAAACAGTAATCTAAATTGCCCTCTGAGACAGAGCAAAAGAATTCCAATTAAATAAAAAAAAAAAAAATCTACCAGAAGTTATGCAGGCTGAGTAAGAAGTAATTGTCGTTTCTAGCTTATGAATCTACTAATTCTCTGTGGTAAACTGAGGATTAATAAAACAGGATTGGCTCATCACAGTGTAAACTTTGTGAGCTCCAAATAATGCATCTAAAGTGAAAAAAATGTTAGCTATAGTTGTCAATGCTATCTTAATTTTATATTCTGTGATGATGACAAAGCGTATGTGAAACAGAATTACATGTAGGAATCACTTTAAAAATAGAAATGCTGCCATATGCTAATTTCAGAACAAACAAACAAGCAAAGTGAATATCCTCCTTAAATTCAGGTGAAATATTAAGTAGCAGTTAGATTTGGTAAGATGTATAGGGTCATTAAAGATACTTATCAGTTTGTTACCAGAAGCACTCAGTTTAATTACACAATTAAGTTTTAGATTCTTTTCATTATGTACAGAAAGCTTATTACAATTCCAATTTAACTGGTCATCTTTAGCAATACTATTAGATTCTACTTCATTTTCCCACTCATGCAAAAAGCCCACCATTCTCCAACACAAAGAAGGAAGCTGAGAACCATGTGAATTAATTCATTAATTGTAAATACATTTGTAAAAATGATTAATAATTCACCAGTTCAGATACCAGGTGAGAATCAAGCAATGCACCCATTATGATTTTTAAAAAAGTAAGATGATGTACCAATTTACAAGGCTATTGAACAAAATCTTGTTTACATATTCTGTATTTTAAACACGATTAACATAAAACGTTGATTTCCATGAAGCTACATCAATATTTCTAAAAATAGTAGTATATTCTTAAAATTATAAATTATTCATATTGAAAGGGTAAATTCCAAGACTTATATCTCTTTAATGTATTTATATTTCTTTATAAAGCCAAAGATTTAGATAACAGCTATGTGGTATGAGTCTGATTTTCTT